ATATTAAAAGGGCATCCAGTTTCTAATGGATCTTTATAGGGCATTGTCATTGTTTCAGGGATTAGAGAACTGAGAAACCAAATGAAGAAGACCTCATTTCATTTGCCTCAGTTTGAGATGCTAAAACAAATACATCCCATATTTTTCTCTTTTGTATGTAGTGTCCAAGCCTCTTCTTAGGCACCAACCTGATGACTGAGGCTACCAATCAACAGTACCTGCCAACATCACAGTAAGACCAGTGGAATGAAATTAAGAGTTCAGGGATAAATCAATGCATCTACGACAAACTTACTTATTTATTTATTTATTCATTCATTCATTCATTCATTCTGTCAACAATATCAGGATCATGAAAGAATTCTTTCATCAGCAAGTGATTCTGAGAAAACTGGATATCTACATCCAAAACATCAAGTTTACCAGGACAAAGCACTATGTACAATAGCATAGACCAAGCACTATGTACAATAGCATGGTCACAGGATGGGATAAGAAAGGCAACCCTCTCTTATATAAGGATAAGGGATTCTTATTTACAAATAAAAGGGTTCAGTAGTATATAAGAATCAAGGTTTCCAGAAAACCCTTTGAAAAGGGCTGCAGTTGCCCCTCTGGGTCTTTCTTGCCTTACCTCTTCTTCCCCATGCTGCCTGAAATGTAAATAAGAAGCCTATAGCTGCAGAGCCATCTGGGACCTTGAGGATGGATGGAAGCCCTGTTTGTGAACGCAAAAGAAGCAGAGCCCTGGCCTTCGAGGGTTGAGAAACCACCACTCCTATTCTGTTAGTTTTGTTGGTTTATTTTGAATAGTGCTCATTCCTTTAACAATCTGTGTCCAGACTGATTTTATAAGAATGGAAATTCAACACCTACCTCTTTAGGTCAATTTTATTTGAGTTGTCTGTTTTATGAACTCAAACCTAATGCTCACTTATTATATCACTCCTTTGAACTATGGAGCACAAAACAAAGGTGACAAGGATCCTCTGCCCAAAGCGTTAGCTCTGGTGCTTAAATTAAATGGGATCTTGTTAGAAATACAAATTCTTCATCTCTACCCCAGATCCTCTGTATCAGGAAACCTGGTAATGTGTGTGTGGGGGAACTGGGGGTGTGGGGGTACACAAACTGCCTAACAAGGCCTCCACATTCCAGTCTGGAAACCAAGGGAAATTCTTCCTGTCCAGTGTTACAGTGTAGGAAACTTTTTGCGTCTCTAAGGCCTATGACCACATACTCTTAATAATTGGGGTTTTGAATTTTAAAAATACTTGGGTACCTATATCAGGTTCACCATACTAACTATATGACCTAATAGAACCTTCCATAGGGTTATTGTGTGGATCAAATGAAACACAGTGCCTGGAACACTGTAGATGCTTAATAAATGTTAATTCATCCCCTCACTATCCACCATTTCTAATGTGTTATAGGGCTCCATTCCTAGGGATGCATTCCTGTATGATGTGAGTTAGACACTCCCCTCACTCCATTCTCTGCTTGGTCTCCATTATTTCGTCTGTTGTTATTTAAGACAGGGAGAACCTTAGGCAGGAAAAGAGAAAGGGGAAGTAATTTTCTTTGCATATCACCTAACTGGTCATATAAGCCACTGAGTGAAGACATAGGAATACCCTGTCACTAGTTTTATTTGGGGGTTTAGCTTTGACTAGCTCAGATTATAAATCTTAATTCCAAATTGTTCTGATCTCATATTTTTTTTTATTTTGACAGTAATGACATGACTGCAGAGAAATAAAGAATAATTAACTAGAGTAAAGCCCAACAAAGTTGTTCAATGTGTGATTGCACCAGAGGAAATGGAGCAATATCCTTATTTTTTTCATATTTCTGCATATTTGTTTTTCTTTTTCATAGTGAGCTATTATGTTTTGGATGTAAGGTGTCCCCCAAAAGCTCACATGTGAGACAATGCAAGAAGGTTCATAGAAGAAATGATTGGGTTGTGAGAGCCTAAATCCAACCAATGAATTAATCCCCTGATAGGAATTAACTGAGCAGTAACTGAAGGCTGGCAGGGTGTGGATGGAAGATGTGGATATTGAGGGCTTGGCTTTGGGGGTATATATTTGTATCTGGTAAGTGGAGACCTCTCTCTCTGCTTTCTGATTATCATATGAGCTGCTTCCTTCTGCCACACCACTCTTTCACCATGATGTCCTTACCTCGAGCCCCGAGGAATGAATGGAGCCTGCTGTCTATGGATTGAGACCTCTAAAACCATGAACACTTAAATAAACTTTTCATCCTCTACAATTTGTTCTGGTCGGATCTTTTAGTCACAGCAGTGAAAACTCACTAAAACATGAGCCAAGAGAGACCTTGCAAACTGAGGCCCAGGACTGATTGATGCTTAATGTGGACAACACCCAGGTGTCTCTACCTTCTATTCTGAGTTAATTCTAATTCTTCTCTAAGAGGCAAAGCCAGGAGGTAGAGATTGGCCATTAATGAAATTTACTCTTTCCTCAAAGGCAAGATCCACTGGCTGATAATACTGAGAGCTACCATTCCTTTGTTCCCACATAAACCTTTGTTCTTGTTATTTATTCTGCTCTTCAAAATCCCTTCCAGCCCACCAAGCCAGCCCATCTGCCCAGCACTCAGTCTCATGACTAACAGTGAAAGGCAGCTAGCAGTCCCAACATCCTTATAACAAATCTTAAATACATGGCACTTAAAAGAGCCTTAACATATCAAGTAGGTGAAATTATTCCTTCAAACACACACACACACACACACACACACACACACACGGTAATCTTTGTCTTTAATGATAAAGATAATCTCTCTTTGTGCAATTGCTTAGTCGCACAGCCTAGTAGGAACACAGTGGCACCCAGTGGACAAATGTTTGATTGAGACAGATGTCCATTCTGTTCCATTCTGAAATATTCTGAAGAACATCCTTGAGAAAGGTCAGTTGCACCCCTGTCCCTGTCCCTATCCTTCTCTCACCTAATTAAAAAAAAATAAGTTTTAAAATCGGGCACATGGGGGCTGCTATTAGTTTTTATCTTTTCAAGGATAACACAAGTCTAAAACACTGGAGAGAGAAAAAAAAATTCTCAGGATTAAATCCTTGGAGAACAGTGTCTGATTTAATTGACCTCTTTTGAAATAGCCAAATCTAATAAAATGTTCAACTTAATTAAAAATGTAATATTGAAAATGCTGTAATGTACTGTTACACATCATACTCTCCTTTTTCTCAAACCATTGCCAAATTTCAATTAAATTTACTTGGCTATGCAAATCTGACAACTTCAAGAACCATGCTTTAGGACATTAACATACATGGACCCTACAACTTAATGCTATTGTACAGTTCATCTTGGAGTCATAAAAGCAGCTCATGTTACTCTCCATCTCCTCCAATCATTCTGTTGTCTGTGAGCTACTTGGATAGAGAAGCTTTGGCTTTTGTCTTTCTTCCTCAAACACCTAACCAACTCCTCACTTATGGTAGAAACAAAGAAGCTGAGTGAAATCCAGTTTTATATATTTAATCTTCTAAACACTGAAAAAAATGAATATATCTAATTATTTGGTGTTACATAAAGAGATCATCCAGTGAAGAATCTTAAATATTAGGGGCTATTTTTAGTTAATAAAAATATTTTTAAAGAACAAAGTACAAGTGTTCTTTTATAAGTAAATTGAGTTTTACTTATTTAAATGACAAATCAAATATAAAATCAACATATATCTTAGGGCAGGAATAATCTCTTTTAGTAAGCTAAAATTCTTCCTGATTTGCAGGCTCTGAAATTCTTAGGTTTTTTTGGGGGGGGAGGGGGAGTGCTTTGAAATGGTACCTCATATTCATCATTATGTTCTTTATAATTCATAATTTTGCCACAATTTGAGGTTTGCTTTTATTTGTTTTACAGGAAACCCCAAATCCCCTGATGAGCCACTTGCACCACTTGCATTGAATCAGTAAATATTAAACACAAGCCAAAGTAGGGGATATAACTTTTTTGTAAGTTGGAAAAAAAATAGAGACAATTTGTGTATTGACACATAATTACTATATTACATATTAATCATACATTTTTTTCTCATAAGTGCCTCTTTCCCAAAATTTCTGGAAAAACGTTTTTATGAAATTCTGATACAGTGAGATTTTAGTGTACAAATATAATACCTTTGTTTCTTAAAAAAACTCATAAAACTTTTTTTTTCAAATTTCTAAAATAGTCTCAAATGTATCAATTCATGAGAAATTAATATGTATTTCTAACGTTTCAAGGTCTCTTCTGTATTTGATCCTCCACTGACTGGAACTGAGAGTGAGGAGTGACCCAGCTTCAGGGAGATTTGCTCCCAGGGGCCAAGACCCTACTGTGGGGAAAAGCCATCAACAACAGTAGTACATGTTGCTCTGTACTGCTTGCAAAGTGTAATCTTATTGGGAAACAGTCCGGTCCCTGGTAGGAGCTCTTTTGATACTAAATCTGAAATCAAGGACCTGTCACACATGAAAGCACCCACCTACAGAATGTCCACGTCACCTGCACAGGCCAGGCTCCACTTATGACCTGTATTGCCTCTGTGGATTTCAAAAACTCAAGAGGAAAGTCAATATTTGAAAATCTCTCTTCCAAGTAAACTTTCTTTACATAATTCAAGAAAATTATTCTGTGTGGCTTCCATAGGTTTTATTTCATCTTGGGACTTATCTGTTTATAATGCAAATATGCCTTGCTTATTCAAGAAAACCACATGCTTAAGGAAGTCCTGACCAACTCATGGCCTGTGGTGAATAAAAATCAAATAAGATATAAGTGTGAAAAAGTATTAAAGGCTGAAAAGTAAAAGGTCAAAATAAGTACTGAATGAAACGCTGGGCCTGTGCTTGTATGTGTGCTTGAGAGGGGATCAATGGGACAGCGGTTAAAATGTGTTAGATTCACACTTGCTATACTGCACACTGAGGAACATATATTTCCAGTTCCCCCAACAGGTATTACCTGTTCCGATAAGGTTTTAGTCTTTTCTTCTGCTTCCTTTAGGCAAAGTTCCAAGGTCTCAAGTTGGGCCAAAGTCAACGCCATCTGTCCAGTGTCCAGCGACTCTCTCTTTAAAACAATAATTGAGTATTACTTTTGACAGGAGTAGTTCCTGAGCACACCTTGAACTGTTTTATGGACTAAGGATAGGCTTAATAAACTCACACAGATCTTCCCCTTAACAAAGTGCTAAAACGGCAAAACCTTATAAAAACAATAGTCTTGTACATCAATTTACAGACTGAAGGCAGAATAAAAATTACGTAATAACAAACAGTTTTAGCAAGTTAGAATAAGATGACTCAGGTTGGAATTTAACTAATCCCAAACTTTTGTTCTAACTTCAAGAGATTGGGGTCAAATTTTCATATCCCTAATGGGAGATGTCACCAAAATACCTGTGTGTTTCATTTTTACCTGTCAGAGGTAAAGAATCATTGAAACTCAGAGAAGCCCTTGTTCCCTCTGATCTTCACCTTCTTATCACAATTTATTAAAGCAAAGACGCCACATTTTAGAATCTTGTCATTCTTCCTCAGAGCATGACTGATATAACTCAAATCAGCAGATGTGTATAGACCTTGCCTCTCAAAATTATTCCAAAGTTACTTTCACTGAGCTGCAGGCAGAGTATGTAAAATTGGTATGGAAGTAGTAACAAGCTCCATTGATATGAAAGCACTTCTAAGTACTCTCTTTCTCTGGCTAATGTGACAATTAATATTTACAGAGCAATATGAAAACTTAGAAAGGAAAACCTTATACGCCTTAGCATTATGACCTTCCTATAGCCTCCTGGGTGTGTTCTCCTTCCTGGTGAATGCTCCTGCTGGCACAGCTGCCTCTGATTAACCCCATAAAGAATGAACAGTACTCCTATTTTAAAGATCTCCCAGTTGCTTTGTTTTTCCCTTTGGTTTATGACACTACCGATTTTACACATGTGTGCATTTCCTGGTGATACAATAGAGCCATCTGGTGGTACGTGGACCAGCTATAAAAATAAAGCATTCATAAAGTTCCTATAGTTGTTCACATTGTATGCTGAATCTTGTGTCTCTGACACTGCCCTCTGAAATAAATGGAACTCCATGGGATGAGGGGCATAGGTAGTTGCTAAGACCAACGATAGAACCTGCTCCTAAGTCAAGCTCTGTCATACACAGCTGCATAATTACCCCCAAAGGTTTGTCTTTACGGGATAAGCATTTGGGGCCAGAATGGTGACACTAAGAATTAAGTGAACCAATGATCTTCTTTATCCCAGGATGATTCCAGTAATTTAAAGATAGGGTCTAAAAATTCCTCTGAAACAAGTCTTAAAATGAAGTTTCTATTTGGAAATAAATATATGCCATAAAACATTTTATGCAGAAAGGGAAAATTGTCAAAAGGTTAAGTCATTTCAAAAGATTGGGAATTCCTGATCTGCACTGCTATTTCCAGGGAGAATCTATTTGTCTGATGTTTGAACTCAAGAGGAAATTTTAAAAATCAGTACAAACAAAATCCAGCAAGAAACTTCTAGGCCTATTTCTCCAAACACCCAAAATTTCCCCAGCCAAGAAAGACAACCATTTCCAATAAGACAAAAACATTGTAAATGCAAGGCCAAATGAAACAGTTTAACAGAATAGACTGTTGTTAAATAACATAGGACTCTTTTTTTATTCCAATGTGTTATACATGATAGCAGAATGCATTTCAATTTATACTACACATATAGAACACAATTTTTCATGTCTCCAGTTGTATACAAAGTAGAGTCATACCATTTGTGTCTTCATACATGTACTTAGAGTAATGATATCCATCTCATTCCACCATCTTTCCTACCTCTATGTTCCCTCCCTTCCCCTTCATTCCTTTTGCTCCATCTAAAGTTCCTCCATTCCTCCCATGCTCCCTGCCCTCCACATTATGGATCAGCATCCTCATATCAGAGAAAATATTCAGCATTTGGTTTTTTGGGATTGGCTTACTTCACTTAGCATAATATGCTCCAATTCTATCAATTTACTTGCAAATCCCACGATTTTATTCTCTTTTAATGCTGAGTAATATTCCATTGTGTATATATACCACAGTTTCTTTATTCAGTCATCTACTGAAGGTTGGTTCCACAATTTTAACATAGGACTTCTTATATAGGTAAATTTAGGAGATTGTCATGTGTTAGAGACCCAAGCAAACTCTTAATACAGCCTGTCTTCTGCACCTTCACCCCAGATGCAAGGTCTCCCTCCCAGCTCTAAGGCTATCCCTCCTCCCTACTTTTTAGGGCTATCCCCCGCTGCTTCCCCACTTTCTTAAGAGAAAGTTCTTATATAAGGATAAGTACTTTTCAATAGGAGGCAACCCCAATAAGCCAAGATATCAAAATTAAATCAAGAAGATCTTTAGAAATAAGTAAAACATGGAGTTATATGTGTGGTTTCAAAGACCCCCAAAAAAGTTAGGTCCCATTTTGGAGGCTACAAGTGGCAGAAGAATAGACAGATAGGATTTCTACCATTAATATAATGCTGCTTCCAGGTAAATGTAGATGCAATTTGTCTTAATGATAAAAATAAACATTCTCTTAGTGGTAAAGCAATGTATGAGTGAATTATATTAATTAATAGTCCTCCATGACATCAAAATGCTGAAAATACAGGAGACATCAGAGTTTGGGGATTCAGCAACTTAACAATTCCCAGTTTTAGTTCCTATTTTCCCCACCTTTTTTTTATTGATGCATTATGGTTGTACATATTGATGGGATCTGTTGTTACCTACTTGTAACATGTACACAATGGAACAAATACTTAATTACTATTTTTTGTCTTAAAATTTTCTATGTGTCAATGCAATAATATAAATACATGTAACTAGCATGATGAAATTAACTCTAAATAATATTAAAAATTTAACAAACTAAAGACTCTAGACACTGTAATGAATGTGTATTTGGTTTGTAGCTTACTAACTGAACAAATCATATATGAAATTATAAGAGTGGTCTTCCTTTTGACTAAAAAAGTTTTCCCACTTGATAAGTTAGGGGAAAATTTACATTTTCTCAAACCTATCCTAGTACTTCCCATTATTCCCTTCCTTGCTTTTAAGCCTTTATTTCTTTGTCCTCAAATGACTTCCTTCTTCTTCCTCCTATCCTTGTGAACCAGTTCAAGGTCTCCATGATCTAACTGCATTTTCCACACCTAGAATAGCTCCTGTGTGCAGAGGCCAGATGGGTCCTTGCAGAACATTTTATAGGAGCCCAATAAATAATTGTTGTTGATTGAAGGGTCAAAAGTCAAGGCAGGGTGGTTGCATCAGAAGGAACCGTCCTTCATGCTGAGAAGCTGAAACAGTGACTTCATTGTGCAAAACTTTCCATGTATCCAGCCTGGGACACTGACAAGGGTCAGAGCTCCAGGGAAGTTCTGCTTGCCAGGGACAGGGGCCAGGCAGCACAGCAGAGGGTGAGGAGATGGCCACAAGCTTGGGTGATAATAGGGTTGTTATAACAACTGAATGTTAATCAGATTAAGTGTTCAATAAATGTTAATAATTCAATTATGCCAATTCCTTTAAAGATAATTAGATATTTAAACTTTCTAGCTTATTGTAAAACAGTATATCCATAGGGACACCGAGTGTGTGACATCAAGTGACCAAAAAACATTGGGAAATTCAGTCAAGTATGTAATTAAGAGAAAAGTAAATGTAGTAAATATGTGCGTGTGCAATTATTTAAGAACAAGATTGTGAAATAAAAGTATGATTACAACAAAGTCCACCTTTGTAGAGGAACATTTCAACAGAGGTCAGTTTTAGAGAACTAAATGTCTCAAACAATCTGAGGCCCCTAATATTCCAGGGTCTCAGAAGCAGTCCCTCCTCAGAGGTGCAGTAACTTCCTGCTAGATAAAATGTGCTTTCAACACAATTTTCAGTGCTTGGGCTTCCTGTTTGATATCTCATCTGCTCATTATTGCTGTGCGTTTCTCATTCCCCCTGCTTGACAGACACCCATGTGCCTAGACTTCCTTACCCTTCTGCAACCCGCTTTTATTTCTCGTGAAGATTCAAGTCTTTCCCCAGTTGATCATCATCTGCTCTACCTGCACCCCCATGCCTCAGCCCCTTATGCTGGGCAGATTTATGTCATCCCTCCCCTTTCATCTTTCATGATCAGAATTCACTGCATGGGGGAAATTTCATCACTCTCATATGCTTTCATGCTTAGCTTTTTAAATAGTTTCCTAGTCTCTTTCTATGTAGGCAAAAACTTAAAACTTAATTTTCCTGGTTAAAAAAAAAGCACTCCTCTGTGTTTGGGGTTACCTTAATAGCCACCCAATAAAGTGTTCAAGTTAGAATACAAAACAAACTATCACTAGAGGTTGTAGAGAATGTCCATCAATGTGACCGGGCAGAAGATAGCTATGGGAGGATGCCGGTGAGCACTAAGGAGCACCCTGCTTGTTGTGTGGAGGGCCATGTTCTGGATCTGACTTGATTCTAAGTAACCATGTGACTTTGGGTCAGCTACTTTATTTGTCTGGGTCTCAGCATTTTCACCTCTCAACAAAGAACATATTTTCTAGTGGTGAATCAGATGGCTATACTAATTGAGAACTGAGGAGAGTTAAATGAGGGACCATTCCCAAAGGTGTGGGTATTGTTAAAGGCATCAACAAAAGATAGTTAGGCACCTTCTGGAAGTGCAGGTGCCCTTTGCCTTACTTTGACCTGAAGCAGCTGGGGAACGGGAGCATCACTGATGGACCCAGAGGGAGAGCTGGAGGAGGGGAATACAGTCACTGCCAGTTGTGCCCAAGCAGTGGAATAAATAGCCCCACCTTCTCTCTTCTTACCCTCCATTCTCCTGCCTAGGCTAAACCTTGGGCTGAACCCAGTGAGAAGCCAAAGGGCAAAAGAACCTGAATAAAAGGTGCAGAGACACTAGCTTTTCCTGAGAAGAGCAGAGAGGAGGAAGGGTGGAGAGTGGGTAGGAGATAGGGGAAAAAGAAACCTCAGCCCAACGTGGGTTAATCCTACTGGTGGTTCCAAAATGCCAG